GAACTGAGGGAAAAGGAGATGTTTCGCGGAATGGTAATATGTACAAAATAATCAAGGCTCTAGACAACGTCGGACCTGACTACAATGAAGCTGTCGGCTTGGAGTCCGACTTCGGAGGCCACTTCACCCGCCGCTCGGCTCTCACGTATAGATTATTCGGCCTAATGAGCTGGAACATTGGGTCGTACTCCACCGTCGAATCCCCCTCTCGGGTGAACTTGTATCGGTACACAAGCTTAGGCAGGAATATCTTCACCTCCTGCAGGGCAAAGTTGAAACCAATACACATGCGGGGGCCTGTTGCGAAGGGGATATATGCGGTTTTATGCCGGTTTTTCACGGCCTCCGTGTTCCAGCGGTCCGGGTCGAAGCGAGTGGGATTATCCCAAACATTCGAGTTATTGTGCAGATGGTGCAACGCCCCGACAACAACAGCGCCCTCGGGAAGTTTGTACCCCCCCGGCAAGATCATATCAATTTTGGCGGTCCGGGCAGGCTGTGCAAAAGCACGTCAGTAAACTATGGGCTAGGGTCCTCCATGCTAGGGGACATGAATGGCTCTCCTACCTGGAATGACGGGTTGTGGCGTCTTTGGGTTTCTTTAATGAACTTATCCATGAATGTGAGTTGATCCGTGATATCGGCGGTGAGCTGAGAATCTTCGGTGATACCGTGGTCGACCAGCTCCTGGAGGAGTCTCTCTTGCATGCCGGGATAGGTCACCAACGAATAGATCAGCCATGACAGCAGAGAGCTAGTGGTGGTGAAGCCGGCACCCGTGGCCACGAGCAGGGCCTGCATCAGCGAAGTCTTGGGCAGCTTTTCACCCTTGTTGTCGGTTGCACGAATCGCGTAATCGATCATGTTGTCCGCTTGCAGGGCAGCTTCCTGCAGTGGAAGATCATGGACGCCGCCGCGGCTAGCATTTTGGATCGACTCGTCGATCAGCTCGAAGACCCGGCCGCGGATATCCCGCAAGCGCTTGGGGTCCCCAAAGGGGAGCTTCGAGTACCAATCGCCCCGCGCACTCACCTTCTTGTTGAGCTCCAGGGACTCGGCGATCAGGAGGATCAGCTCATGGGGCGGGGCCGTGGCCGAGGAGAAGTGCTGGAAGTCGATGCCCAGGACCAGCTTGCCTACTGCCTGCGAGCCGAGCTTGAGCATGTACTGGTACACGTTCCAGGCCTCTTCCGCCTCATCGAAGGCGTCGAACACCTTGAATGCGTCCTCGACGGTGCGCTGCATGGTGGGCGCGTAGTGCCGCACCGCCTTTGGTCCGAAGGCTGGCGGAAGGAACTTGTGGGCGACGTGCCACGTCGGGCTATCGGTGTCGGCGAGAAAAACACCTGCCTCGGTGTTCTTGATCGGGTACAGAGGGTGTGCCTCGTTGATCTTTTTGGTAAAGAAGTCACTCTCCGAGAAAATGATTGCGCTCAGTGCCGGGTCATTGGTGTGGTAAGTCGTGCGGCCCATGCTGCTGGTTTGGAAAATCGGCCCATACTGCTCGAACAGACGCTGGTGGTTCCCAAGATGGTCGGGGTAGATCTGAAAGAAATTGCCAAAGATTGGGATCCCCTGGGGTCCTGGGATCTCTCTGACCGGCTTCCCATCGATGGTGATGCTAATCTGGCCCTCCGATGAGCAGACCTCGGGGGTTCGGTGGAAAATGGCGTCCTCGGTCTGCAGCCCGATACCTGTCGCTGTTCAGTTGGAATACACAGGAGGATACTGAATTTAGATAGATGTAAGGGGGGAGATTCAATTACCATTGGGGTCAACGATGGCGAAATGCGCAGCGAGAAGATGCTGCAGTTCTTCGAAATCAAGGGCTGAGTCCACCTCAATTTCCCTGGCAGTGGCTATGGGCTCACCCAACAGGTAAAATTGTTTGGCTGGCATGATTACTTTTATGGGGTGAAGGCGCAGTGGGGAGATAGATGGGCAGTCGAATTTCCTTTGCGCGCCATGCCGCTTTATACGCTTTATAGAGGATCGAGAATAGATGCGACGCAGCCTCCTCGTCTGGACACTGCGCCGGACAAACCAAAAATAAGCGCGGCCATGTTGGCCAGGACGACGAATCCACATAAGTTACTCCATAGTGTATAGTTACCGGTACGTAGATATTTTCCAGTGTTCCACACACACAGAGAGAGAGACAGAAGATAACGGGGGATGATAGGATCCATGATCGGTGGCCTGACAGCCTGCCTCGGCAAGTTAACCCGCAACGTTGGGGAGAAATTCAAGACGGGAAGCGATCGTCATTTTCGGGGCCCACTATGCGTACCTGCGTAGTACATGAGAACTACCATTATGCTTCGGTCTCAAGCATAACCGAACATCGGCTTCCCAGAACTTCCAAAAATGGGCATAGAACGGCATAGGTAGCCCTACAAAATTCCCCTGCTGGCTCGGCAGACCGGCCTGCTGCAACAACCTCCAAATTACAATCTCCGACGCAGGTGGGCCGACTGGATCACTTCCCCCTTACTCCCCTTCCAATTATCCCGGAGGAAAAAAAAAGAATTGGAAAGGAAAGGGGAGAGGGGAAAAAAAAGGAAAAGAAAAGAAGTTGCCCAATCAGAGTGGTCGCAGTGCCGGTTTATGCCATGCTATGCTTCTGGGCAATCATGTTATATTGCGCAGCATTTATCCTGCGACCTTGGGGCCAGGAAAGTTTCCCTGAACCAACTTGAATCCATGACAATGGAACAATCTATAACATCAGAGTCACCGGCTCAGGTGGTAGCGGATGTTCAGCTGCCCGAATACTCCTTGGCTGAGGTTGCAACACACAACAAGAAGGATGATATCTGGATCGTCGTTCACGGACAAGGTATGACACCTTGTGATGACCTTGGGAGAGATGTAGACACTGAAATTTTATAAGTATTCGACGTCACGAAGTATCTCCAAGACCATCCGGGAGGTGCGGAAGTTCTTCTGGAGACCGCAGGTACAGATGCCACCGCCGATTTTGAGGATGTTGGCCATTCGGAGGATTCGCGCGATATTCTGCAAGAGTATTTGATTGGCACCTTGAAAGACGCCAAAAAATATGTGTCCCCGAAAGCTGTTCGCGTCATCCCTCAAAGATCCGAGAAGACAATACCACCAAGTTCATCTTCAGTACGATCAGTGGGTGCGATCGTCGGTGCATTGGGTACGGCGACAGCTCTACTGTATACTGTCAACCGAAGCAATCCGGGCGCCATTGATATGAGGAAGGCCTGGGGCCAAATCGTCCCTTCTAAACTCAATCTGTCCAGACTCCCGGGCGGGGAATTTGCCCACGGGTTCATCATGGCAACGGCTGTCTGCGCGCTGCTGGGCAGCCTGGTCGCGCAGCAGGCCGCAAAGTTCACGAAAATCGACTCGGGCTTCCTCCGATACCCTCCTCGCATCAAGGCGCGGAAACGCCCGAGAGCTGACCCCCACTTGGCCAAGGGCTTTCTCGACGCCAAGGAATTCCAGCGCCTGCCGTTGGTGCGGAAGGATGAATTGGCATCGAATGTGTACCGCTTTGTTTTCGCATTACCTGACCAGAAAGGAGTCATCGGCCTTCCAATCGGACAGCATGTCGCTATTCGAGCGGTTGTCAATGACACCACCGTCAGCCGATCGTACACGCCGGTGTCGAACAATCTGGACCTGGGCCGCCTCGAGCTGCTCGTCCGATGCTATCCCGATGGGCTTTTGAGCGGGCAATACCTTGCCAAGCTCGAGGTGGGCGACGAGGTAGAGTTTCGAGGTCCCAAGGGATCTATGCGGTATAGCAGGGGACTGTGCACTAAGATCGGGATGGTGGCTGGAGGCACAGGCATCACTCCAATGTACCAATTGATCCGTGCCATTTGTGAGGACGACCGCGACACCACGGAGATCAGCCTCATCTACGCGAACCGTACGGAGAATGACATCCTACTGCGCGAGGAGCTGGAGGACTTCGCTCGCAAGTACCCTAAGAATTTCAAGCTCTGGTATATGCTTGACACGGCGCCTGAGGTGTGGCAGTATGGCACCGGTTACGTGACCCAAGCGGTGCTCAGCGAGCGTCTACCGTCGCCATCCCCCGAAACCAAGATCTTGTTATGTGGCCCTCCGCCAATGGTCAGTGCCTGCAAGAAGACGCTGGTGGCGATGGGGTTCCAGGAACCAGGAGCGATCTCTAAAATAGGCGACCAAATCTTTTGTTTCTGAGACAGGCCCATAGTCTCACACTGACTTAGATATGCATGTACATAGATAACAATAACAATTTAGAACTGGGCCGAGGGTGGCACCATTGTACCTTGGAGGATTGTACAGTCAGGTAAACCGTTTTGAGATCCCCTCAAAACGCCTCAAGCGGAAGTGGCCCGGGAAAGGCTTGAAGTTGGTACTCCACTGAGGGTCAACCTCGATAATGTCGCAGACTCGCAGGCTCGTAGACAGAACCAGTTACATTTGACTGGCTGGACGTTGTATTGTACGCACTGCCGTGACTCGTACCCCGACGATGCAGAGGGTGAAAAAGGAGAAATACCCGAGGTGAGTGGAGGCAGAGGCAGGCTAAACCCTACAACCAAGCTTGTTTCAGGCTCCTCCTGTCTTTGAACCTCGGCTGATCAACAACATTATTATTGTTTTTTGACAGATGTTATTGACAACTTGACAGTCAACCAATTCCTGATAGGCCGGGATCTTCCTTGCGTTCGAGATTTCTCTGCAAGATTATCCAGATTCCAGATTATTCTGATGTTGAGACGCTGTTGGAAGCCGAGGTAAAAGTTTCATTGTTCGAGACATACGTAGTCTTGTCCAGTACAGTACTAGTACAATACGCAGTACATACATGCTGTCTAGCTATTTGTTTTTGTACAGTACATCTATATACATGTCATACCGTATTGTACACCTTGTGGTGGCTATGGTAACTTAGCGATGCCTATCTGCCAGCCCAGCACTAACAAGAAGAGTTTCCTGCGCTTTCTTCAGTGGCAAAATCCTAAATGAAACTTGTTTGACTTGTCGGACTTCTCATGACTAGTTACAGTACATCTATCTACATGAATAAGTGGTATTGTTCTCTGCGCTGCCACCACTCCGCGGTAACGTGCGCTCGCAGTGCGCATAAGCTTATGCGGCTTGGCGCGAGGTTCAAAAGTCCGCTTTATGCCATGCGCTAACTATGTGACCACTCCTCAAGAGTCTCTTAGAAGGTTGAACAGGGAGCACCACGGGGCAAATGCGTATCAGACTGCGATTGGATTCTTCTTTTCCTCGCACACTCGTCAGCGTCGCATGTTTTAGAGCATCGAGTGCTGATCGTGAGCCGTCGTGGATCGTAAGGCGGCGCGCGGTAAGTTAACTTAGGCATCATGAATACCGCCGAAGCGTCCACCAGTCCGACCAATGTCTCCGCCCCCTCGCGGCATCGAACCCTTCGGGGCCAAGCTCTGCTCATACGCGCAGCTGCGCTTCGTGCCGAAGACGGAAAGTTAAATGCGACAGGCAGCGACCAAGCGCCAACTGTGCGCGCACAAAGCATGAGTGTGGCTATCCACCTGGCCGTGGGAGGGCCCCAAAGCAACCGCGCAACCGTGCATTGGAGGCCCAACTTGCGGGGCGATTGTCTCATTTGGATGCCATGATCCGACAGCTGAGGTCTCGAGAAGGCGGTAGAGCCTCGGTAGACCCTTCTTCTTCGCCTTCGCCCGGAAACCCAGACGTGGTGAGCAGAGATGATCAGAGGAGACATTCCTCCGTACGGGATGCTGGAGATGTACTGTACCCAACAGGACCAGGGCCAGTCAACCTGTGCAGCCTGGAGTGCCGCCAGCAGAAGGGCTCCTGGTCCAAGATGGTGCCTCTACTCGATACATAGATGAGGTGCTCTTTGCGCACGTGCTTGAGAAGGCTAGTAGTATTGACTTGGTTCGCAAAACGAGCAATCCTGGGACTGACTGGCCCCAATCAACAGGATAACGACATTCGATCGGCTATCAGTAGCCCTAGGAGTATCGATGCAAGTAGTCAGCGGCCATTCGATACATGCGAATTCGATGGCCTTATCTCAGATCCCATGCCGGCCTCGTACTGTCGAAGTCCGTCGCGCAAACAAGCAACGCAGCTGTGGCAGGTCTACCTGAATAACGCCGACCCCCTTCTGAAACTTCTCCATATTCCTAGCGTTAACTCTCTTGTTTTCGCGGCCATAAATAATCCGGAAGAGGTAACCGCAGGCACGAGCGCGCTTCTTTTCGCAATTGACTTCGCCGCCGTCACCAGTCTACCATCCCCGGATACTATCCTGCTCTTAAATCAGGACCGGCCGTCCGCGCTCAATCAATTCCAGCGAGGACTAGAAATATCTCTTCATGCGGCAGTGTTTCTGGATTCGCCCACTATTACCACTTTACAAGCGATGACGATCTACCTGGTGACCTTCCCCTTAACATGCCTAGCTGTTTATGCCATACTGCCACTTTCCAGAGATGTCGTCGAAGTCATAGTGGTGGCCGTTCGGGTTGGGCTCTCAATGGCCTCCTCATCCGCAGCGCCCAGTCGATTGGGCTTCATCGAGACCCGGAACATTTTAAGCTCACGCCGCTGAAATGTGAGCTTCGCCGACGAATGTGGTGACAAATCTGCGCGTCCGACAATCGGGCCGCCGAAGATCATGGGCTCTCGACTGGTTGGGTGGTGAATTCATGTAATACGAAGCTACCCTTGAACGCTGACGACAAAGATATTTGCGCGAAAACAGATGTTGCCCCAATCCCTGGAGAGGGATGGACCGAGATGAGTTTGTTTCTAACAACCGCAGAGCTCAATGGAGCATTCCAGCGAGCCTCTCGACTCTCCGTAGGGGTACTTAACAGCCAGAACCCCATGGACAGCTTGGAGCAACTGTCAGAGCATGTACAAGAGAAGATAGAAGCGAAATACTTGAGGTATTGCGATCCCAACATCCCGCTGCAGAAGGCTGCCATCTTGCTGAGCCGAGTTTTACTTGGAAAGCTCAGCGTTTTCATCCGGCAACAATACCTGAGAAGACTGCGTGCGGAGAAATCCACTGCTCGTGCGGTGGAGGAAGCATTTGCACTAGCATGTGACACCTTGTCTCTAAGCATAGAGTTGAAAGAGGACGAGCTTCTAAGCAGTTACCAGTGGCATTTCACCACGTATCCCCAATATCACCTGCTTACCTACACAATGTGGCAGCACTACGTCCGCCCGGACGTGCCCAGGGCAGAGCGAGCCTGGGAGCTGGTGAACAAGTCATTCAGCATGACCGAACTTGGTTCCAGACCTAGTCCCGGGCCAAAATGGAATGCTCTGCGCAGGCTGCGAGAGAGGGCATTGAGTATGTGCCGCGTTCGTCAAGCCGCACGGATTCCTGCAGTAGATGCAGTGAACACGGAAGCCGACAACACGCTGGCTGAGAGGCTAAGTGATGAGGGGCTCGATGAGGCATTTAGGGACGATGTACTCTGGGATCTGGATTCAGTATGCTTTCCAGATTGATCGACCTTCCCTCTAGCATTGTGACGGGGGAATGGAATTAAATAGATCAAGTCCAAAGGTTGTATATCTCCTTCGATATACCGACGATTTATCAAAGTAATCTAATCTCGAAATTGGGGTGAATCCGACCCAGCGTCATGGGCGCAAACATGGAAAGCGGCCAAGCCGAAGGCATATTACTGGTTTTTGCGCAAGCCACTGAGATCCTGAAATGTAATAATCACTGTAGTGTCGAAGTCGAGCGGTGTATGCGAGGGGTGGATGGGGATGGTGTTCCTCGTGATTCCATCGCGGCTGCGCTTTGATATCATGGTGTAGCCCGAAAGGCATAAGGCATGCATATCCAAGGAGAAGGGAAGCGATCGTGGGAAATGGGGAAAGGGGAAACGGAGAATGTCATCATCGGGTGGGGCAAGAATCTTCATCCGGAACCAGCCGTGATACTCGAGTATTTGAGAGCCGGGCGGTAGCCGGGCTAGACTAATTCATTCTTCTATTCCCGATGTAAGGACAGAGTCCAGAAGTCCAATCATCGTGTACCCTGCATGCATATGCGTGTGTGGCCACTGGCTGATGTCTGTTTGGTGATGTTCATGGCTGTCCGTGTATGCAGCCGAGCGAGGGCTCGACCGTCCACTAGCAAATAAATGTACGAGTAGTATGAACGAATTGGTTATGTCACTTCCCTTCTCCTTGTTGCCTCGCTTAACTAAGACGATGACGTTGGAGTGCAGATGAAGAAAGTGCTTTCACCCAAGATTTCCACCGTTTCCACCAATTCCACCATTTCCACCATTTCCACCATTTCCACCATTTCCACACTTTCCAGCCCCTCGGGATGCCGATCGGGTCCAGTCTTCTGCAGCCAACAACAATGGCTGAACTTGCGTTTCTTTCGATGTGGGCAGTCCGTCAGGTCCCTTTAGGCCCCAGCCGCTCCACTCTCATCCCCCGGGGACGATGGGTCCGGTCGGTCCCCTCTGTTCTCTTCAGCACGGTTAACTAATCACCCACCCCTCCTCTCTCATAACCGAGCGCTCGTAGGTATTATTTTTCGTGGGTACGTCATTGGATTCATTCCGGTTTTGCGTCGCCACGGGCCGTCCTCCCTCAGCGTGGGAAAGATATTTCACTGAGCCCATCGCCGGGCTGAACTGCCTTCAATCATACATCACCCTTCCGTCAAACCACTTGGCATCTCACTCAAGCCCAGTATGTCGCCCACAACCAGAAAAATTGTCTGCTTTTCAGGTAAGAATCTAGGAACGCCCCTGCGGATCCTCTCCACCCTAGCGGCTGATAACTCCGCCTTCTATAGACTTCGATGGCACCATCTTCATGCAGGACACGGGTCATGTCCTGTTCGATAACCTAGGCTGCGGCGAAGAGCGCCGCCGGCTGCTCGACGAACAGATCAAGTCGGGCGAGCGCTCATTTCGAGACGTCTCGGAGGAGATGTGGGGCTCACTCCGAGTCCCTTTCGAAGATGGTTTCAAGATCATGGAGAAGGAGCTAGAGATCGACCCCGGCTTCCAGGAATTCCACCAATTCTGCGTGGCCAACGACATTGATTTTAACGTTATCAGTGCGGGGCTCAAGCCAATCCTCCGCAAAGTGCTGGACACTTTCCTTGGAGAGCATGAGGTATGGTATTCCCGGCGGTGGTCCCTGGGTTTCTTCCCATCATTAATGCATAGCTTGTCCAGGCCTCCCGTATCCAGATTGTCGCCAATGACGCGGACATCAGATCCGACGGGTCCGAATGGAAGCCCATATGGCGGCACGACACCGAGCTTGGCCATGACAAGGCGCTATCCGTCAAAGAGGGCCGCGCTCTCGCGGCGGAGAGTGCCTTGGATGGGGAAATCCCACTCATCATTTTCATCGGAGATGGCGTCTCTGACCTTCCGGCTGCGCGGGAAGCAGACGTGCTGTTTGCCCGGAGGGGTTTACGCCTGGAAGAATACTGCATCGAGAACAAGATCCCCTATATCGGTTTCGATTCGTTTGCGGATGTAAAGAGAGAAGTCGAAGCCATCATGAAGGAAGATCAGCAGAAAACTGGCGGCGTGGGCAAACCCGCCCGGTTCAACCCTCGCGCAAACATGTGGCGGCGCATCTCCAGCAAGCAAGCTGTAAGTTGGAATTATATATTTGGCGAGCCATTTTTATGGCGCTTCTTGATGCTAATTTGTCACAGATTCCACAGTTTGTTGCGGCAACTCCCTCGAGGGAGGACAAGATGTTCCTCTGGCCCGAGAGCTTCTCGGAATACCACCCGACGAGCCAGATGAACAATGTTCCCGCATAGAGTTATTCTTGTCTGTTGATAAGTCACTTACCCACTTCGCAGGCGTTTGGTGTAGTGAGCTGGATACCGGATATAAAGTAGATTTAGATGATTAAACGTAATACAAATGAAAGTTCTCGTTTCAAGCACATCTGATGTATCTGTCTGTTCACTGTATCAGCAGGGTCTTTTAGCCCAATGGGGTTTTTCTTTTGTAAAGTCTGTAATTGTGAATGATGTTTCGAGGGGAGCACTGCCCCAGCCCTGTGTTGAGTCTACTCCAACTAAGCATTGACGTACTCACCGAGCCAACCAGCTTGGTGAAATCAGTTCGACCCTCGGGGGGGTTCAGGGGAAGCTGTCGTTGACTTGTTAAGGGATAGCCCATCCTTCGATCGCACTGAACACCGACATTGGAAAAGTGTGACCAGCTCATCAGGACGGAGCCCTGCTGATGGTATTTAAAAGTGAGGTAGCGGCTAAAGGAAGCTGATCAGCCATGTCTTTGAGGGCTCACTCTTCACCAAATTGTCTTTCGTTCTCTGGGCAGACATATCGCGCTCGGTTCGATAACAATTCGTCACCTATCAGTCCCAGACCTGCCACCCAGTTGGAATTGACTCATGGCTCTCAGAGGCACAGCATTCGAGGGCCTCGCGGCAGGCAGCCTACCATGGCTCTGGGCCCACTCGGGAGGTTGAAGTACGCTCGTGCGTCCCGATCGGATCGGTCATCCTCCCATCAGTCAGGAGAGGGTCAGGAATCTCAAAATGAATCTCCCCATGGTTCTTCGTATCCCAATGGTGTTTCTGGGCGCAGGCCGATGCTTCGGGTGCGGTTGGTGGTTAGGCTCCTGGAGCTAAGACCAACAGGTGAGATTCAGAAGCTAGTACTGCCAAAGGTGGGAGGTCGGCTTATCATGATTCAACATAAGGGGGGCCGGGGGTGGGGGGTGATGCCAAAGAGATTTCAGTATATCCTCCAGCTCATGATCGTTAGCATGCCAGCTGAAAGAAGAATGAAGGAGGCACGACGGATACTGAGGTCTGGAGAAGATACTGTAGAAGTGATCTTGTAAATACTAGTCGGGTGTATAGAACCAAACAAGTGATGGCGGCGATGATGAAAGAATGAAGGATGTCAAGAAGAAGACGATCCCATCCTGCAGTGACAGGCAACCATGCCGAGCCGGTCCAGTACATGCTAACGGAGTGCTATGCAATGTTCAAGTCAATTAATAAGAACAAGCCTACGGCGAAGCCGAAGGGTCGTGATCTTCAAAAAAGGGTACGGATGAGAGGTAAAAAAGAAAATCCTCCCCGACTGGGAGTCGAACCCAGGTCTCCCGCGCTTGTTCCCGAGTGGGAGTGACAAGCGGAAATCATGACCGTTAGACCATCGAGGAATTGATATACTGTGATCTCACAAGTGTGTATTATCATCTACTGTCTCAGTCCGCGGGTTCGTCCTCGGGCATCGTGTACACAACCACCGTCAACAAGCTTACAATGCCATCCAGGAGGCTTGAGACGTTGACACGTTTCCATATGGACGTCTTGAGTGGCATTTTAACTCAGAATCTGAGGTGTTTGTCGAGATCTGTAATCCCGTGTTGTCGCTTCGCCTTGGGAGAACGAAGAGTGCCGTTGGGGTTGGGGAATATCTATTCCATTCTGTAGTACAGTAAGGTACGGTCATCCCATCCCCCGCTGTGGTGAGAGAACGCAGAGTCAAATAAATTTTCACATTCACTGCCGAGGGCATCTGAAGCTTCGACAGACGCACCGCTTTCATGGTTCACCGACAAACGTAGCCATGATTCTGATTTCCCAAGCCTAAACTGCATGGTGAGCGTCAATGAGCGTCAGGAAGGGGGGTCAGGAGGCCGACAAGTACATCGACAACCTACCGTCATCAAACCCGAAGGGAGAAAGACCAGACTCAAAGCAACATCATTCGTGCACATAAGCCACAGACCACCTCAGAAGTAGTGCCAGGGCATGATACCGCCTGCTAGCAGAACAGCTCACACGCGTTGTTACTTCACACTACAACCACAGTCGGACTCACAACACAGGGCTCTGACACCTAGCTGTCATATTACAGCCTGTAGAGAGGGAAAACCTGGGATGATTCCAGACCACCCACAGACCCAATGCCAAAAAAGTAACCAACTTTCTGGACATGTAGTTGCTTGCTTGCTCATAGTGTTCTGTCATTTTAGCTTGCATGGAGCAGTAGACATGACACCACCAAGATGAGAGCAATCAATAGTCCCCATGAAGACCCGGAATTACTCCGCCGCAGAAGATACGTCAAAAGGCTCCTCCTCCCGTGTGCAGTCCAGGGCCCATATCCACCCCGCAGAGTACATGCCGAGCCTGTAATGTTTGAAAAGTCCTCTGACCAGCACCCATTCTCGCACGAAGAAGGATCCGAGAGTGACTGAGCCAGGTATGGACTGCTCCCCTTGTACCGGCAAGCGAGGAGGGCGGTTCAGGCTGTACCTTGCAGGTTGTTCGCAGAAAACGAGCGGTAATTACACAAACATAACATAGCTCCAAATGGTAATCTCCCCTGTCGATGTCATGCCGGGTAGTGGTCAGGGGCCAACGGCACGCCCATATACCGCAAGCGATCCCATACGGTAGATCCCATTCAACCTAAAGTTGCATCATGGTTAGGATCAACAACAAGTCGCAAGTCGGGCCCGGGTGTATGCCAAGCGATTTTCCGGGGCAGGCGACCCTTGTGTGCTGTCTTGATTATAGATTAAGGAAAGTTCAGTATGTTACCTGCCGAGTATCTCGAAGTCGAGGGAGCAAAACTGGGTTACCCCGCATATTGGCGGATTGAGGACTGGCTCAGGGACAGAAATTAAAAGCATCGGAGGTTCCGCCGGGGTTTTACCCTGCTCAGTAATTGAGAACAGAAGCCTGGAGCTGAGAGAAGGGGGAAAAGAGGGGAAAACAGACACGGTCGACGTCATGCTACCTTAGTTCCAGTTTCGGTCTCCAAGGCCAAGAAGTATGATTATCTGCCCCTCGAAACCGTGTTCGTGCTCGGAGTAGCTGCCTGGCCCAATTATGGTCAGTCAATCGGCTTCTACTGAATCCTCTCTCTTTGCCGAGGGTATTCCCGTAGCCACAAAGCTTGTCGTCCTAATATATGATTCAGATCCTCGAACAATTCACAGGAGGCAGGAAAGACAGTGTTTTCAAGCCCAGAATAATGCATCCAAAAGTGTGGTCCTCATGGGCGAGTGGAAGCATGCATGTGTACATTTCAAGAGAGGGCATCGATCGACGTATCGCACGCTTGGCCAAGACGTTCACTCTAAGGCTACCTGTGAAATATGACTGCTAGTTGTCGGGCTTATGTCGGAAGAAACTAGATCTCAATCATCAGCTCGCTTCTTCATATTGTCAGCCTTCGACCTGCTGCTTGTCTTGTTTCCCAAACCCAGCATCTCCACATTGGTCTCCCAACCCCTCATTCTCTGTTTGCCCTCATCTGCCTCCTAATCCCCCGTTTCCTTCTCCTTTGAGAGTAGATTTCTTGGCCATATCACAGCCCGAGGACATATAAAGACATCATGCTAGTCCCGTCGGACAACGGCATAAGAACCATGTTTTGAAGGCTGCAAAATGGTGGTCTTTTCGAGCCTGGGAGGCATTGCCGTCCTTCCTCTATTTCTTTCTTTGGTTCAACAAGCATGCAGTCTTTCTTTGGTCGTGAACAAGGCGGGGGGTAATGCTTCTAGCCCACTCCTATACGGCTTCATGTTCGAGGTATGATCAGATCGCATTGCGTGGCTATGGAACGGCATCTGATAAGCTACTTTCAGGACATCAATCACTCCGGAGATGGAGGTATTCATGGCCAGATGTTGCAGAACCCTGGCCCGCAAGGGTCATCGCCGAGCACCAGTGCATGGACTGCTGTCGGCAAAGGCACGATTGCTGTCGACAGTGAGAACCCACTGAGTTCGGCAATCCCTCACTCGTTCAGGCTAGATGTCGCGTCGGGTGCCACTGGGGCTGTCGGCTTTACCAACGACGGATACTGGGGCATTCCTGTCGATGGAAACGAGTTCGAGAGCTCTTTCTGGGTAAAGGGTGACTACTCAGGCAAGTTCACAGTTCGCCTCGTTGGAAACAGCACCGGCACAGTATATGGCTCCAAGACTTTCACCCACAAGTCCAACTCGAAGACCTTCACGCAAGCATCTGTGAAGTTCCCAAGCAAAAAAGCTCCAGACGGTCATGTTGTGTACGAGCTCACCGTGGATGGCAAGGCTGCTGCGGGCTCCTCTTTATATTTCGGTTATATAACTCTTTATGGGAAAACATATAAGTCGAGGTTTGTAGAGTGGTCCTCCAGTACGTGATTGATTGACTCATTCTTCTCGTCATAATAGGGAGAATGGATTACGCCCCCAGATTGCCAATTATCTGGCGGATGTCAAGGGTTCCTTCTTGAGATTTCCCGGAGGAAACAATCTAGAAGGAAACAGTGCGGATAATAGATGGAAGTGGAATGAAACGATAGGCCCATTGGAAGACCGTCCAGGACGCGAAGGTTTGTGCATCGTCACTCAGATGTTGAAGCGCGCCACAATCTAACCTGTGCCAGGTACTTGGGATTATTGGAATACCGACGCCTTAGGGCTAGCAGAATACTTCTACTGGTGTGAAGACCTGGGCCTCACGCCAGTTCTAGGCGTGTGGGCTGGATTCGCTTTGGACTCTGGTGGTGGCACCCCTTTGACGGGCGACGCTTTGACTCCCTATGTAGACGATGTTCTTAATGAACTTGAGGTATGCGAGCCCCACAGAACCCAATGGTCGCGACCCCTGAGTTTTGATATTGACTGGCCATAGTTCATCCTAGGTGATAAGAGCACCACTTATGGCGCCCTCCGTGCTTCCCACGGTCAAGAGGAACCATGGAGCCTCACAATGGTCGAGATCGGCAATGAAGACAATTTGGGTGGAGGATGTGCCTCATATCCAGAGCGCTTCACAGCATTCTATGACGCCATCCATGCCAAATACCCGGACCTGACGCTCATCTCCAGCACGGCCGACTCGGGTTGCTTGCCGGATGAAATGCCTGAGGGCACCTGGGTGGATTACC